AGTGCTTGTCCTCCAGCAGCGAGCTCACCACCAGCTCCTTGTTGCCGAAGTCCCAGAAGGCAGTCATGTGGAAGGCCATGTTGGAGAGGACAACCAGGTACTCCAGGAAGGCGAAGATGGTGTACACTGCAGGGGAGGAACGCGGCGAGTGAGGGGAACCTGCGGCCAGAGCTGCCTCAGGAGCTGAGGGGGTCTCCTGGGGCACCCCATGGGGTGGGGGGCTCATCCCCTGCGGGCTGATGTGGCGATGGGATGGGTGGCCAGGTACCGTCCCTCCTGGGGGAGCAATCCTGGCCTCTTGCCGGGATTTGGCAGGCGAGGCGATCCCCCGGCCCCTTCCCCACATACATTCTCCCCAGCGCGGCCAAGCGGTGGGCGAGACCGCAGCCCTGCCCTGGCTCCCTTACCTCCGGGGCCGCAGTACCAGTTGTGGTGGAAGTAGACACACACGGCGAACGCAAAGGTGATGAAGGTGAAGAAGAAGAGCAGCTGCTTCCACTTGTAGGACTTGCGCTCCTGGAAGAGGCCAAGAGCCAGGTCACAGCCCTGGCCAGACCCCGGTGCCTGGCCCGTCCCATCCCTCCCACACAGCCCCGCCGGGACCCTTCCTCCTTCTTCCCACAGCTTTATGTACTGAGCGCAGTGTCTTATGGTATGGAATATCCCTTTGGCCAGTTTGGGTCAGCTGTCTTGGCTGTGTCTCCAAGTATGAGAAACTGAAAAAGTCCTCGGCTTAACGTAAGCATTGCTTGGCAAGAACTAAAATGTCAGTGTGTTATCAGCCACAATCTCAGCACAAATCCAAACCACGGCCTGGCCTCAACAGCTCAACTGGAGCTCGTTTGTGTGGCTGTAACGGGATGCACACGCCGTGTCCTGGCCCCACACTCATGTGCCAAGGCACATGAAGGTATCGTAGAATCACAGGATCATTAAGGTTGGAAGAGACCCCTAAGATCATCAAGTCCAACTGTCAACCCAAGCCCCCCATGCCCAGGAAACCATGTCTTGAAGTGCCATGTCTTCAAGTTTTGTGAACCCCTCCGGGGATGGTGACTCCACCATTGCCCTGGGCAGCCCCTTCCAGTGCTTGACCACTCTTTCTGTAAAGAAATTCTTCCCAATATCTCATCTAACCCTCCCCTGGCACAACTTGAGGCCATTTCCTCTCATCCCATCACTTGTTACTTGGGAGAAGAGACTGACCCCCACTCTTGGTGATTGTAGAGCAAAACATCCACCAATAAAAGATCAAGGCGACTACAACATCAGCCACTTTAATGTAAGCACAGCACGGAGCAAATGTGTCTGCAGCTCAGCCCTTGCCCCTACTCCAGAAACACCGGAGCAGCCGTCCCCATCCCCAGGGAACCCCTGGAATTCAATGAAATTTCAAGGAATTTCTCTGGGTGGGCACCGGGAGCCCCTGGCGGGAGGCACGTGCCCACGTGGCCATAACCCGAGCCCCCAGCG